GGGGGGGGGGCTACTCTTGGGTGGTTCCCTTCCGGGGGGAGCCACTCGGGGTAGTTACCTTTCCCTCAGTCTTCTGTGGGGGCCCATACTTGATCGCTTTTTCTTTTTCTTGAGAGGGTGTTTTTTCTGTCCTCCCCTCCCCAAGCTGGGCTGGCTGGAGGGGGCAGAGAAAGAATACCAATAACGAACAGTTAAGAGGGCGGCATGTTAATTATGGGAGGGTTGCTAAAAGAGGCCCTTTATATCCATCTAAGTCAGGCCCCCCTCCTGTAAGTCTCCCTTTGCTTCTGTGAAGCTCCCTTTACCCTCATTCCCTTAGACTTTCCTAAACCTTTTCCCTATCCTCCCTTGGGGATGGCTGTGGCCACGCCGCCCCAAGTGCCCTGCCGGACACTGCTCCAGCCAAGGGCAGTGTACCCGGCACTCCCTTCCAAGATGGCGCTGGCCACGCCACTTGGAGCCCGTTTTCCCGCCGTGATCCTTCTTTTCCGCCCCTAGTTTCCCGCCAGTCCCATCCCTTCCCCCAATGGCCCTGCACGGCAGTTCCTGCATGAGGCTAGTTCCTATTGGGGGAGGCGGGGTTGGACATTCCCCTCCTTCTTCTGGCTCCTCCTCTGGTGGGACGGATCGCTGTCGAGGACCTCCCATCAGAGGACCTTCCTTCTTAAGAGATCACTCCCCTTTCTGGGAGGGATCTCCTTCGGGGGAAGGTGGGGCTGAAACCCCAGACCAGGAGCCCGCCATTTTGTCTTCCCCCTAAAATGGCGGCATCCCTGTCTACCCTTTACCGATTCCCCTGCTAATCATGACAGTCACTAATCAAGTGATTGTCTGATTCCCCCACCCTATTCCTTAATGTACCCTACCCAATGTTCCTTTTTATTTAACTACGAAATCTTCTTTTTACTTCTAATTATTTTCCGAATAATTTACTTGTTAAGTTATATTTTATAGAAAGAAAGGCTGCATTTGTGATCATCAGTGCTACAAGGATCACGTAGCTGCTGCGCTACTTTAGGCTTGCTGCATTGCTGCGAGGTTTAAAATTTATTAGTTATATTTAGTTGATCTTCTAATATAGATTATTCAAATTATTTTATTTAGTTATTTTGTTAAAATCATTTGGATAATATAGTTTTATGTTAAATCTACATCTTAATTGTTTTCAGTTTATCAATTACGTTATTTGATTGTGTTATTAGACAAAAAATTGTCCGATTTAATTATTTAATTCCAATAATTCTATTTTAATCATTCTGATTCAATTATTTAGTCTAAATTCTGTTAATTATTTCCTTCTATTTCAATCACCTGATTTTTAATTAAAAATCCTACTCCTCTTCCCTCTCCCTCTTCCCTGAAGTCGGGCATTCTCAGACAGTCATCCCGGCGTTGTCCGCAGGCAGAATCTGGGCTCTCTGAGAATGCCCTAGACTCCCCGCAGGACAGTGTAGCCACTGTCTCTGCCTCTGCCCCTTCCCCCCAGGTCCCATCTTTATTATCATTGTTTGTTATAATTGTTTTATTAAAATTCAAATATTTCATTTCAATTGTTTTATTTTAGTTATTTCAATTAAATTCCAATATTTATTTCTGTTTGTTTTCAATCACTTAACCGTTCCATCTGATATTATTTATATTATTTTAGATTGCTACTTAGAGCAGCGAAACAGCAAGTTTTAGGTAGTCTTGTGTCTGGTATAAGAACAATTTAGCCAGACAAAGTTGCAGGCCAGTCCCTTAACCTGAGTCAAGCAGCAGCAGCGCCGCGAGTGCAGCACCATGTCTGATCGCGGCAAGGGCAGCAAGGGGCTCGGCAAGGGCGGCGCCAAGCGCCACCGTAAAGTGCTGCACGACAACATCCAGGGCATCACCAAGCCGGCCATCCGCCGCCTGGCTCGGCGCGGCGGCGTCAAGCGCATCTCGGGGCTCATCTACGAGGAGACGTGCGGTGTGCTCAAGGTCTTTTTGGAGAACGTGATCCGCGACACCGTCACCTACACGGAGAACGCCAAGAAGAAAGACAGTCACGGCCATGAACGTAATCTACGCCCTTAAGCGCTAGGGTCGCACTCTCTACAGCTTCGGCAGCTAAAGCCTTGCATTTTTACTTTTATATTGTATATTAAAAACAATTTTATATATTTTATATTAAGTAATCCTGTAATCGTAATTACTTTATATTTTTCTGATAGTTTTCAACTTATGTCCATTTAGTAATTTGTAATTTTACCATATGATTTTGCTGTATCTTGTATATGAAGTTTATATTATTTATATGATGTATGGATATGTTTAAACACCAAAACTCTCCTTCCTTTTGTAAAAAGAAAGGGGGAGATGCGGTGGTGTGTTTTTATTTTATTTGATTTGTTCAATGCCTGTTCACCCCCCAACCCCCCAGTCTCCTCCTCTCCCCAGCTGTCAATCTCCCCA